AGCCAGGTCATCTGCGAAGTCCAGATCGTCCAGCTGCGTCCTAACTGTCCAGTTGATACCGTGCTTCCCTCCAGATGTTGACGTCTTCATAATCCAGTCGACGACCAGGAGAAAGAGAAAGGGTGAGAGTAAGCAACCTTGCCTGACACCGGTCTTCACCTCGAAAGAGTCTGTCAGCTGACCTCCGTGCACGATTTTGCAGTTGAATCCATCATCAGAATTCCGTATGATGTTGACTATCTTCTCAGGCACCCCGTAGTGTCAAAGAAGCCTCCACAGTGTTTTCCTATCCACGCTATCGAATGCTTTCTCGTAGTCGATCAAGTTGATGTAGAGTGGTAAGTTCCATTCAATTGATTGTTCCACAATGATCCTTAATGTAGCAATTTGGTCAGTACATGATCGATCCTTACGAAATCCGGCCTGTTGATCTCGAAGTTGGGCGTCTACGAAGTCCTTCATTCTGTTTAACAATACCGTGTTGAAGACTTTGCTTGGTACAGAAAAAGAGTGATGCCTCTGTAGTTCTCACACTTGCTAAGATCGCCTTTCTTTGGTATTTTGATCAGGTATCCTTCTTTCCAATCTGATGGTACTTGTTCCTCATCCCAAATCTTCTTGAAGAGAATGTGAGATATTTTCGCAGTTGCTTCCACATCTGCTTTCATTGCCTCTGCTGGAATGTTGTCTGGTCCTGCTGCTTTGCCGCTCTTGATTTGTCTGATGGCTATACTGATCTTCTCAATCGTAGGTGCGCCAATAATAATTGGGAGGTCCGTGGATGCTGCTTCGATGTTGGGTGGGTTCAGTGGAGCTGGTCGATTCAATAGTTCCTTAAAGTGCTCTATCCACCTATGTCGCTGTTCTTCAGTGTTGCTGATTACTTTGCCTTCCTTGCTTTTCACTGGTCGTTCTGGTTTACGATAGTTCCCTGCGAGCTTCTTTGTTGTTTCGTACAATTGTCTCATGTTTCCTTCTCTTGCAGCCTTTTCCGCCGTCATTGCTAGATCTTCCACATATTTTCGTTTGTCAGCTCTGATGCTCTTCTTCACTTCCCTGTTTGCTTCTGTATACTCGGCTTGCGCCTTAACTTTCTCTGCTCTTGTTCGGCTGACATTCACTGCTGCCTTCTGGTTCCTCCTTTCTTCAATTTTTTCAAGAGTATCAACAGAGATCCATTCCTTGTGATGGTGCTTCTTGCGACCAAGGACCTCCTGACATGTTGAAGTGATTGCCTCCTTAATCCCTTTCCAATTGTTCTCCAATGTTGCTTCCTCTCCATTGAGTAGATCCTGAAAGGCCTGGAACCTATTGGTGAGGGCTATCTTGAATTCGTTGAGTGTTACGGTATCCCGAAGAAAGGCTGTATTAAACTTCTGTGATGTTGTCTGCCCCGTTGTCCAGTGCTTCTTTAGCTTCAATCTCATTTTGGCGATCAGCAAGTGGTGATCTGAAGCTATATCAGCTCCTCTCTTGGTTCTCACATCCTCCATGGTCCTTCTGAACTTTTTGTTGATACAGATATGGTCAATTTGGTTTTGAGTAGTGTGGTCCGGTGAAATCCATGTGGCTTTGTGAATGCGTTTGTGCGGGAATATTGTGCCACCGATGACCAGTTTTTTGAAGGCACATAGGTTTGCAAATCTCTCACCGTTTTCGTTCCTTTCTCCCAGTCCATGTCGTCCCATGATGTCTTCATATCCAGTGTTGTCCATTCCAACCTTGGCATTCAGGTCTCCCATAAGAATCGTCAAATCCTTTGGTGAACATTTCTCGACGATTGACTGCAGCCTTTCGTAGAATTGATCTTTAACGTCGTCATTGTAGTCATTGGTAGGTGCATAACATTGGATGACGTTCATTGTAATGTCCTGTTTCTTTGTTTTGAAGGATGCTTTGATGATCCTCGGTCAATGAGATTCCCATACTATCAGTGCCTTTTGTACATGTTTGGACAGGATCAGTGCAACTCCTTGTGTATGTGAAGCGTTTTCCCCTTCATGACCAGAGTATAACAGCAGTTCCCCTGAAGCTAGTCTCAGTTGTCCTACTTGTGTCCAATGTGTTTCACTGATTCCAAGCACCTCGAGGTTGCATCGTTTCATTTCTGCCGCAACTTGAAATAGTCTTCAGTCTCCCACAATGTACGAACGTTCCATTTACCTAAAAAATTGTTGCTCTGGTTGTTAGAAGAGGCATCAGCCCCGTGACTTCCGAGGGAACTCGACTTTCATCACGAGACGTCATAATTCTTCTTCCAACCATGAGGGCAGAGTTAAAATGGTTTGAATTATTTTTTCTGGTTAGCGTTTTTTTGGCAATTGAGATTTCAACGGAATGGGGTCGCCAACCCCATGTCCAACCCTCCTCCTTTATCCGGGCTTGGGACCGGCAGTAGCCCCTAAGGTTCTACTGGCGGAGTTCACTTCCGCCAGTATATATCAAATATATATATATATCAAAAGTTTGATTGGCAGAGAATTTGTCATTTTAGGTCCCATCACAAAAAGCTTTCACACCAACTCTTAAAATTTACTTGGATTAGTGGATGATTACCAGCAGTTAGATGAAGCCGTAGGAACAATGGAGGATTTTCGAATTTTTTTGGATCGTTTTCATAAGGAAGGTGTGAAGGTTGTCATGACATTCAACTTTAACGCAATATCCATCAATCATATATGGATCAAGGAAAACAAAGTCAAGCTGAAATCATTCGAAGATCCCTACAAAAATAAGGTGAAATCGTTGTCTTTATTTCATAATATCCTTGTGTTTTACTTACCAATAGATGTCACTTTACGGAAAAGAAGTCAGCCTGGATATCGGTGGAAAGAAATTTTATTCTGTATTCGGGACACCGAATGTCGATCTAGATTTGAGTGATCCAGATACTCAGAAACTGATATTCGTAAGTTGCAATGAATAAATTGACTAAGTCATGTGTACTAGAATGTGATCGACTTTTGGATGGAAAAAGGAATAGATGGTATTCTTCTGGATAACGCTGCATTTTTTGTTGAAGATCATGAAAATGTCAAATGGAAGGCAAGATGTTTGATTTTTTTCGAGGATGAGGATGAAGAACTGCAGGCAAGTTGATGAGTTTTGATTATTTTTGGATTGTTCGCTTCACTCTCAACTCTCATTTGATCTTCTTTTCTTTTTTCATATTCAGGAAAATTCCGAATGGTTATCTAACTGTCCGAATTCTCAGCTGTACAGAAATGGAAGTGTAATATTTGTCAAAGCTGTAAAACGACAAATTGACAAGTGGATTAATGAAACTAAAGAAGATAAGTGAGTAGCCAAGCAATTTATTAACTGCTCCTACATCATTTTGAAACGTAAACAGTGTTTCGTTGTTTCAATGAACTTAAGAATTTTGATGCGTCAAGTGAAGTTCCCGAGATGGAGCAAACACACGGTAGGTTAGTGAATAGAGTCTGTACATTCCAGCTCATATTTATAGTGAACTGCTGACTGTCAGTTACACAGAGCGATTTCAAAAGCTCTGAAACAATGATGTTACTTGACCTTCGTTGAAAACTCAAGACTTTCGCTCTATATGGCGAAGGCTAATACAATGCACTAACGAATCATCTTGCAACTATGCCAATTTTTAATTTTATAGAATGCATGAATTTGTGCGATCGACGATCGAATGTCAATGATGGATTGCCTCACATGTTTAACTACACATACTTACATTCGTCCTAAGTGAGCGTATGATACGCAATATTTGCACATCATATTATTATAATAGTATATCGTATGAATTTACAATAATCATATAAGCTGTCTTGTACCCGTTGAAAGTAATAATAATTATGAATTCAGTCTAGAATAATAATATGTTAAAAGAGGCATACCATTTTACACGCTAGATTGAATTAATACAAATTGTGCCAAATATACAGCGAAGGTTACGACATTCAGATCAAGTATAAGTACCCGTATCTGATAGCACTTATAAATCAAAACATTGACAGGAACAGCTTTATACAGTCACATTTTATTTACAACAATGAGTAATGAAGGGTTGTAGATTGTGAAGTTAAAATCTGTGCCCTGAATAAAAATCGCTCATTAGGGTTGAAAAATAAACCCTACGACGATAGACTCCAGCTCTTGGGATTATTCCCACTGAGCTACAGGAGAATCAGAGGTGACCTGATTATGGCGTACACCACGCCAAACACGCCAAACCATCCCAATGTGAGCATCTTACCGATGCATCACCACCACTCCCCTCGAGGCAATCCTCAAAAGATTGCACATCAAAGAGCAAACACTCAGATTCGTGCACACTTTTTCTCATTGCGAGTCGTCGCAACTTGGAATGCTCTCCCAGCCGAGGTAATTACAGCCCCCTCAGTGGACTGCTTTAAGAAGAGACTTGATAATCACGTACTCACATACGGTCTATCATCTCCCTCTTGGACAAGCTGTGCCTGATGCATATCTTGAGACCTGCTAGTTGTTACCATTGCCATCTCCTCAGATCACTTAATTAATCTATCTCGCCTATTCCTCTCCCTTGCTTACACTTCGGTCCTCTCTCACAATCTTCACTACCAATTAATAAACTAAATTCATCTATATATTACTCAGTTCTGAAATTTTACTCATATTATCGTTTTAATTTACCCTTATTACCCTTATTACTCTCCACATTGCAACTAACTGATCTCCGGTTTGGTAAAGTGACGGCTGCTAGTATCCTGAAACCCTACTGCCCTGAAACAAACGTTTCATTCAAATCCCGAGACATACAAACTCACAACCAACTGCCAACTGACTAGAATCAGACAGTCGAGTGGCTAGACCTCTATCCATTGGACATTACCGAACACCTGGAACCGTACCGAAAGAACGAGAATCGAGCGCGAAGAAATCAAATTGGTTTACACTAGCTCGTGAAAAAGATATTGGATATTGGATTAATGTGCCTCTCATTCTTGAATCTTGTATTTCTTGAACTAATAATGAATAACTAAAAAGCTGAATTTCGAAGACTGAGCTGAATGTTTTTTGTTATCCACAATATTTTCTACAGATTGTTAGCTGTAAACTCGGGTGATTCAGGCTGTGGTTTGAACGATAATCCGGATCCAATGTTAATGTTCAGAGATGTGGCTGATTTGATAATCAGTCGCGATTTTTTGTACACAAGAGGTGGAAGGGATTCTGAAGATGAATTTACCAAAACTCATTTAGAGAAATTCGCTTCTCATTCAGACTCTGATAAGGAGAAATTTGGGTTGACGAGAGGTACTACAGAATCACCAACACATTCGTATATTATTTCGCTTGCATCAACACTATTATTACCTGGTATGTGAACATTATTATGTGATCGTCTAATGTTATTTATACAATTCCACATATCGCTGTACGAATATTCATCAAGGATTCTGACTACCTGTCTTTGTAATCGAAATACTGATTTTTGAGTCACTTTCACCACCAAATAAAAACTCATTATCATGAGGCACATAAAAAGCTGTCCATTGTAAACGACTTATTTCGATGAGAGATTCAAAATACCATCATTATGGCTAATATAACTTAGTTCAATTATGAAACTGTTGGCAAATACGATATCATACACCAGAAGATGGTACAATTAAGAATAATAAGGACGCAACTTTCGACTGCCTGCCTTTCGTTGCATAGGACATCATTTTGACTTCTACTCCATATTTATTAATTGAGACATCAGATCCTCGTGATTGACAATCAACATTCTATCATCACATTAAGTATGAATTGTCTGACCTCTAATCATCCATCACTCAATGAAGTGATTACATGACGAATGACATTTATTATTCTCAAGCTTATTAAAGTAGATTTGTGACTAATTCCTGATTACTTCCGTAGGTACACCAATCATTTATTATGGAACTGAGATTGGTATCAACAGCTTGACATATGCTGGAACTCCAGAAAAGATTTATCCGAAAGGGAAGCATTACAACAGTGAAAATGAATTATCACGATCCCATTTGCCAATGCCATGGGATTCAACTGGGAGAAGGTTTTCGGCAACCATAAGTGATACCAGTTTTACTGACTATTTAAACGGGTATACACAACTGTCTCTTGTTGAAGTAAGTTATATGGTGAGACTTTTATGCATTGGTCTATTCAATATTTGTTTCGGTAGTACGCTGAAAATGTTTTTCTATTCAAGCCATGTCATTTAGCATAATAGACTGACAGATTTAATTGAATATTCATCTATTATTCAAACATGCAATTTGATAATATCATTTACGTGCATTCTTTACTAACCATGATGTACTTTAAATATGACAACTACCAGTTGATTTATTGAGTGCAAAGTAAATATTTGGCTGTTTAGTATTTTGATGTCAATTGATATGTTTTAGTCTTTGATGAATGAATATCAAGTAAAATTTACTTATTGTCGTATTGACATCATCGTCTCAATTGAGATGCACATAAATAAATGAATGAATGTTAAAAATATTCATTGTCTGTTCACTGGTAAGAAGAATGACTATTGTTTACTGTAAAATGAAGAGGATCGTGTAAAAACTGCAATTATGTCACTCGTTTTACACAAAAATCAATACAGTGAACATAATACTAGCCATATATTATTATATAAATTACGCTGTAATAGGCAAAGCGGAAGTGGTCTCATCACAACTGAAATACACATGATCTTAGCTCAGAAAGCCGAGAAGCGAAATATTGTTGTTGATTGTGCATTCACTAGAATGTGACAAAACAACCATATAACTGGTTCTAATCTATATTACTTTGTGAATTCATGTCATAGTGTTCAATGTTTAGTCTGGTTGATCTATCACGTCATTGAATGTACTCATGACTATTCTTAGCACACACGTTTCGTTTAGTGATCAACGTGATTCGAAGAACTGAGCATATCAAACAACCGAATTCATTTTGTTTTACAAAAGTAGCTGATTTGTGTAGCACAGTAATAATTAAAACAGTAGGAAAGACCACCTTTATTTCAATCTTTATCTTTTTTCAAAGACTTAACTTGCTGATGGTGATCAATCATATCTTAATCTGGTTAGAAAGTTAGCGGCCTTTCGTCAGAATCCAAGTATGAAATGGGGAATAATGGAGACCATAGTTCTTCCTAGGGTAAGTTTTTCCGAAGGTACATTTGAAGAGAAGACATTTCTGCAAAAAGTATTACTGTTTGATCACAGTGGCTTCTTGTAATAAACTGTGTCGAAAATTCTGTTGTTTATCATCAAACAGTCAGAAAGATTTCAATACCAAAGAACAATTTTGAACTTTGATTGCTTTGCATTACGGGGTTATGAAGATTGTTAGGTTACAGATTTTTGAAACCATGACTCCTGCACCTCGCAGTATTCGAACCTGGGACCTTCGGTATTGTGCGGGTTCGAATCTTGCGAGGTGCAGGAGACATTAGTGCGCACTGCTGAGGAGTCCCATGCCGGGACGAAACGTCTGTCCATTGCTTCGAGGTTTCTAACGGTGATCTTACATTGATCGAATCATGGTTTGATTGCTTTCTTACGTAACATCATCTTTTACATGCGATACTTTTAGACAGGTAATTAAAGGAATTGAAAAATCTCAGGAGAATATTTAATAAACAGCAAGCATGTTCCATTGCCACATCACCATTTTCATATGCAAGGTGAAAGATATCATCTTGTAATTAACTTGAAACACGTGTTGTAGAAGACAAAAATATAACACTTGACTTCTAGTCACTTAAAAAGCTAAGGTATAGAAGAACAGTTGTTGGGAAAACATCACTTCAACTTGCAAATAAAATGCAGATCACCTCATCAATTTGAAGACTTTGTTTGTGTTCTCATTCTTACTATCCTTCTTTAGATATCCGTTTATACTTATATGATTCTCTGAGTTGCGTTGATGATTCATGCTTCCCTTTGATCGATTATTTGTTGCTGGGTATTGAAATTGAGAAATACTTCTTATTCATACTGTACTCAAAAAAACCGTGTATCACTATCAAAAGCTTATTTGTCCTTTGTGTGAAACTATTGACCAAATGAAAAGCAAGTTAAATCTATAGAGTAGCATTTGCAACATCCAAAAAAGCGTTTCTACGTAAGCTGAAAGAATTTCCATCATTTGTTGTGGTGCTATTATCAAGATTACACGGGATTTATCACTTCGATCTCACCCCATTTTGTTCATCAGTTACTCCGAGAATAATTGATCCTTCACAACTAGATGTGCCAGTTGACATTCAATTAACAACTCTGAAACTAAATATCACAGGTGTAAAACCTGAATCTCACATTTTAGTGTTTGAATGTAACGGAATACACCATTATTGAATCTGCTTAATACATGTAATATCAGATCTTCATTCAATTCTGAACACAGTTTATTGCTTACACTATCAATAATCTTCTTATCTGACCTTCTATATTTATTCTGCTGGCTTACTGATTTAATTACTACTTGTTTGAATTATTGAACTCATTTATTTTTATTACTGAAGATGATGGTTTTTGCTATCGATGTTTCTAAAATCACTAATTTACTAAAAACTCTGTATTGATTATCTCAGATCTTTGATTTGTACATTTATGCATGTGGATTTTGTGATGCACACAATTCTAATGCCTTCATTTTTTATAATAAATATACTTGCTTTTGTTTAAAGTTGGAATAGACGTAATGGAATATTGCATTTAACTGTGCATTGTTCTCTTTCATTTAGTTTATTTCAGCTGAGTGTTTAAAATAATTACCCTTTGTGCAAAGATGCATTAAGCCAGATGATTGTATTATTTCTACGCTCATCGTGAACTAGCACTTTCATATATCATGCTCTGTGATCTTTATTGAATCAGCAACCTTACCACATAGTTTTGCAAATCTGTAATTGCATAGAATGTGCACATTGAATGTTGAATGTGATGTATAGTATTTTTGACTTGTACTGGGTTAAAATGACTTAATTAAAATCGTAAATTTACCAAAATCAACAAATTCATGATCACTTAAACTGCTTCTAATGACTGCAGTAAGACATAACTATTACTCTCAAAATGATGGAAATAATAACTGTGTAGGCACTCTATATTATACATGCTTCAAGTGTAGAAAACAGCTAAAGCAATATTTTACTGATTGTATGACTACGACAATTACACAACTATCTTACCACTTACAATAATATTTCTACTACATTTTAGAAATGTTTGTCTTATATCGTTTCCTTCTGAAGTGATGTTAAAGAGCTTTACCGCTTCAATTTGCATACGAGTAGGTTTCCGAACAGAAACATATGAATAAAAGTGATGATCATCATCTGATGATGCGACACTTTTTCGAAATTCTCCGTATATATTGTTATAAGCAGGAAGATATCGTGGCCTTTGACTGATGACTGATATTTACGCAAACGAAGCTGAAGAGGGCATACACTTTAAGGTTAATTACTAAACTAAATTCAAATGCTTTATCCATGCTTATTCGTCAATATTTTATGACTTGAAGAAGAATTCGATTTCCATTTGGAATGTGGTGAGCAGTCAAATGAACTAAGTGATATTCTCTCTCCTTCATATGACATTTAAAATTGTTGGGATAGCCAATCGAGAAGAAAGCCATGCACATTGTGGATTGATGAACTTATCGATTAAATGCTTAA